CAAGTGCTTATTAAGATATTAAGTGTTTGGTAGTTTAAGGGTTTAACATGATTAAGAAGTTTTGATATAACTCTTGCTTAAGCTCAAATGCTTTGTTGGATTCTGGCTGCAACATACAGTATATCTCAAACACATTGAAAAAATTAATATCTGGTAGTTAATGTGTGTTGATATTGTTAAACATGCAATTATTTCCAAAACATATTGTAGACATACGTATCTGAAGGTCAGTCATGAATTTCAAAATTACCTACAACTGCTTTTTCAGTTATAGTAAGTCATAACATGTGCTTTTGACTGCATACTGCCAACAACTGGACTAGTCTTATTCAGTAGAATAGTTTTTCGATATCTCCAAATACAACTTGTAATAGTATAAGAAAAGTATTCATCAAGTCTTGCTTAAATATACTGTATGTTGGCATTTGTCAGATGTGGGACACACTTACAGTAGTTACTTCCTGGAGGCTCTCTAATGCAGAGTTAAATGCTTAAGACTTTAAATATAGATATTAGGATACAATGCTACTTACTTTAGTATGAATTTTACTACTCAAATGTTTAAAAAGCTTTTAGTGTCCCCTACAAACGTGTGTTGTTAATTAGTCCTGTTGTGTTGTGTAAACATAGACTTTCTACTCAATTAAACATGTATAGTACTGCCAGGTTTTCCACATGGACGAAAAAATAAACAGGGGATAAGATCAATGCAAAGACGGCTGTTTTTGTGGTGCTTTCCATACTGGAAGATCAATGTTGAATAAGGTATTATTTTCGACCGACAGTCTTCAATTGTTTTACCTTTTATTGATGGGATGAGTTAACCTTAGAGACTTTGAGTGGTATGGTTCACTTCTACTACACACATATCGATAAAGAAGAGGTCAAGAGGGAGAGGTGTTATGGAGTGTACGGATGCACTGAATGGTCAGGAAGTTAGCAAGGCCTGCAACGATCAATAAACCAGACCACTGGAGACCATTGTGGTAAGGCTTCAGTTACACAAGTCTATAGGAAACAAATGCCTCCATAGAGTATTGTTTCCATCGCAGGGATAACTATATATCCATCACAATCTTCACATCTTTACGTGCAACTACAGTAGAGGATTGATGGCACACTGACATTTTAATCCAAATTATGAATTGGATCAGCCACTTGTAAATTGTTAGAACCCACATTTTCTGCTTACATGGGAAATGATTTCAAGTTAAGAGGTGCAAAAATGTTATCTAAAAAGCCAAATTAACCCAGCAGCCGTGGCATGCTAATCAATTGGTCTAATCAGAACTTATTTATTTCACTCAGATGGTATTACCTGCTGAGGCTGAACAAGAAAACCATTTCTGTGTTTGTTAATTATTCCTTTAGTTTGTCACAGAGTGGTGGGTTGTTTGGTTGACATGCAGTCACCTTTGCCAAAGGGTTGGAAGAGCCAAATTACTGTTGGAACCTACTAAGGAGTTCCAACCACACCATATCAAATCACATGCAAATAAATGAGGGAAAACAGTATAGGACAAGAGATCATTTGGTTTTCGTTACAGTCTGCCGAAAGAAAGTCGATTTAAGCTGGTTGTTAGGAGGATTTGTGGAGGAAACGTTTTCATAACAGATTCTCTTTGGTAGATTAAGTGTCATAAAGTAAGCAAATATCATGGCATGTTTTTTAGATTGCGGTTCAGATATAAAACATTTGTCCAAACATCAGAAGCAACATAGCAATCTAGCTGCCTGTCCTTGGCAGGCCAGGGTAAACTGTATCCCCCTTACACCAGGGTTGCGGTAAATATTTGGCTGTAGGCAGCGCGCGGTCATTCAGATTCTGTAGGGTAGATTGCAGGGTCAGAGAGAGGTTTTGAGGGCACCAGTGCAGAGAATGCCAATGAACTATCAGAGCAAACATGAGCCTGCAGTGAGGTTATGAGAATGGGCACAACCAATCCGAGAAACCAAGCAAGGAAATGTACATAGTGGTTAGCATTCAGCTGCCAAGTGTGAGCTACGATCCTGAATGAAGTGGGGGAATACTTCTGACCGACCTCAAAAATGGAAGACTAAAGTTCTGGTTTATACTGAACTGTAGTAAGCATTTATTTTGTCATTATTATAACTGGTGAATAAGCAGCTCCGGAAAGCAGACTAGAAGTTTCATGGAAGATTATCTTACATTTTTACTTTTATTGTTCATCAGTTTTGATAATAAGGGAGAAATAAAAGTAAATCCCTAGAGGCCCTAGGTTCTGCTGGGAATAAACTAAGGTGGGTAACTAACTATGCAGTACGGCTAACTACTTACCCTAAAAACCTTTAATAATGTTATCAGTCAAAGCTACAATTGCTAGTATAAATACTGAAACACTCCAAGAATCCTTTCAACCAAGACAGCCCAAAAATATCAAGAACATACCTGTCAAATATTGTTTGGGACGATCCAAGCCTGAAAGACCTTTTCCTTAAGCTTCACTTCAATCAGCTGATTCTTCTGTTGACCTCTGACCACAAGTCAAAGCAGCTTCATAAGAAAGCTTAAATCAAAAATGTTGCGTTTGATACATTTAAGAAAAAAAACTAAAACTGGTATTTGAGTAAGGGATAATGTGCTGCGACGTGGTCATTATGGGGAATTCTATAACACATAGGTTTGAGCAAGCTCTCTGATTGGTCAATAGGCGTGTTTGATTCCACGATCAAACAACGATCAAATAGAACGTGCCTAATCACAAAGTATCCAGTGGCCTACACACGCCACTAGCCTACCGAAACTACTTCCATGAGCCTACATCGTGTGGTTTCCATAGCGACGTTTAGCGACACACAGCCGTTACACTGTTATACATTGTCTCTCATTGGAAATCGGTAGCTGCATACAGCGGCTGGCGGAGGCAGGGTTGGAGGCCAGAGAAATCATGTCCGTTAGCGGACATAAAAACGAGTCATCGCTTCGCAGCTACTGGGCTCCATCTCTAGACAACAGAAAGATGTGGAGCAACGCGCTTTTTGCCGGTCCGGGACACGCCATGAAGCGGCCACCGGAGGAAAGCTCTTCCTATAACTTAGTCCTACCCGTGAACACCACAGCACCACCTGCAAAAAAGTCTGGCATGGAGTTTATGGAGAGCTGTTTCAAGAATTGCACTTTTAATGGCAGCATGAACATCCACCTTCATTCTGAACCCAAAATGTTTCAGCACCATGGACAGCCTGATTTGATTTGTTCCGCTAATCCCACACAGTGATTACTCAGATATTTAAATAGCCTAATTCAAGCATTATTTTCAATAAATTGGTTAATAATATATTATTTACTATAATTATATCAATAACTGTAAGCGGGGTAGCAGGAGTGTTTGATCGGCTATCGTTACAATGGGAACTACTTTCTAGGAACTACTTTCTGACGGAGATTAACTCAAGCAGAAAGCGTAGATTTGGGAGCAAATTAGCCCACATTATGAAATTATTTTTACGATATTGTTGATTACAATGATAGTTTGTGTAATAGAATCGCAATCATACACTTGAGGCCGTTCTTCAACGTCATTATTGGTACGACAGTACTGCGGCAGGACCGAGGCGCTTGCACCAAGGTCCGTACGCCTGTACTGGGGTGTATGATTGCTTAAATCAAAAATGTTGCATTTGATACATTTAAGAAAAAAACCTAAAACTGGTGTTTGAGTAAGGGATAATGTGCTACGACACGATCATTATGGGGAAAAGAACACCGACAGGCTGATCAGGAGGGATCTAGATCGGCATGAAGTACAGGCGTACGGACCAGTACAGGCGTACGGACCAGTACAGGCGTACGGACCAACGGACCAGTACAGGCGTACGGACCAGTACAGGCGTACGGACCAACGGACCAGTACAGGCGTACGGACCAGTACAGTACTGCCGCAGTACTGTCGTACCAAGAATGACGTTCAAGAACAGCCTCTAGTGTATGATTGCTTAATTATTTACCGGTCGATACCAAAAGCCCAAGTATCAGTATCTTGACAGAAAAAGTCCAATCAGAGCATCCCTAGTAATGTACCTTGATTAAACAAACAAAATCACACCATTCCTAGAAAGGACTAAATTATAAACCCCCTATTACCACTAGTACTCAGAAATACACCACGCTTTAACATGGCTGATAGTCCGTGACTACAGAAGCAGCTCCACTTGGGTTTAGATCCGGCAGGCAGTTCCTCTGTGTGGAAATCCCTCAGCAGAACTATGGAGTCCCTTGGCAGTATCTTCTCCCTCAAGCTACAAATAAAAGCCTTCCTCTACAAACATGAGCATATTTTTCTCTGGGGAACTCATTGCAGTGGTGCTCAGCAAAGAGCTCATGAGAACATACTGTACCCTCGTTCAGAAAAAAGACAGAATTCCGTACTATAATAAGTTGATAACACTCCAACTCACACACTACTCTACTAGTGACTTTCCACATCCCAAGAGACAAACATACACTTCTGTGATCACCGTCACCTCAAACTGAATTTCAAGTCCTTCTGTCCTAAATCAAGGACCACACAAACCAAAGCACACCTAGAAAACAGGTCTAAAAGGTAATATGTGTTGTCTTTCACATAGTGAACAAACTGTCACAGTGAACACAGATCACAAGACAAATCTAATGAATTCTGTGCAGTGGGTGGATATTCACTTCACTGGGCTACCATGTATTCAATCATTCATTCGTTTCATTATGCCTTCATCCTTCAGGCTATTCATTCATTTAACATTAATATCAATGAAAGCACAAATCAACTCTTTATGATACTGTCAATAATACTTTAAATGAACATTCTGAAAAAACGAAATTAGCCCTTAAACTCAACACTGGCTGGTTTAAGCACTGATCAATCATATAATACCGGCATGTGCAAACACACACAGATAGAGACAATGGGCAAAATGAGCTCCTGTCTGAATAATGCATTGCAGAGAGCAACAAGTGTCAGTAGCTTCATACCAAACACACACAGATATTTTGGACTCACCCTTTCCAGGTCTTGTCGGAGGTGTGTGAAGAGTTTGAGGCGTCTGTAGAGGACGTCCTGCTCCTGTTGGGCCAGGTTGTCCACCTCGTCCCTCTTTAAGGTCATCAGAGGTCGGTTAAAGTTTGACTTCCTCTTCATCTTCCAGAACTGATATAAAAAGTCCACCTTGATGAAGAGACAAAATATAAATATTTATATATATAAAAAGCTGTTTGCTTACAGTGGTAGCTGTCCTTTAAAAGTGAAAAAAGCTTTTGACAAAACCCTGTTTGGAAATCAGAGGGCACTTAATTACTCCACGTTCTGAACAAAAGCCTCTGATTTATCAGACAGTTTACCTGTGAACAGGGAGCACTTTATTTAATGCACTCGAGCCTGCACTCTAAATGCAACTCATCAATACCACATATAATTAAATTCAATTATTTGTGGAAGCCACACTCTCAAATAATATATGATTTACTATGAATTCAAAACCCTGGGAAACGATCAGACTAATGTTGTGCAGGTAAATGTAGAGACCTTATCAAGTTGTATTTATTATCATTTTATAATATATAAAGCTCACATGGACAAAAAGTGCTCCATAGAACAGCCAATCACAGGAGGTCTCAGCTTCTTTTTCTTAATAGACAAAAAACATCTACATTACTTTTAAAGTTTTTGCACATTTGTTGCCTGTTTGCATGAACAAGCGTTGCTTTTCTGACCTGCCTCATCAGCGAGCTTTGTGAAGTTTCTTCATCATTATGCTTTATTTATGCCTGATGCCCTGTCTAGAGGAGGTATTTTGTGTACATGGAGGTTTATCTATTACAGTGAATTACAAATGTATAGCATCCTTTCTACTCATTTAATAAAACAAATCGTAGTTTTTGAGTTTAGAGATGTAACGATTGATAGACATATCAGTTGATTGATAAAAAACAATCGCAAAACATTCCAATAATCGGTTAATCGAAAAGTAATTTTTCATGCAAAATATGGCAAAAAGTGCTTTTTTCTTCAAATATGGAGATGCATATTTTTTCTGTGTTATATCATAAATATGTTTGTAATTTAGACTGACGACACAAAACGTCCCTTTGGACTTTGAGAAATTGTGTTTACATTTTTTTTGACAATTTTCTGACATTTTCTAGTAATCTAGAAAATAAATCTACAGATTAATCGTTCTAGCAGCCCTACAGTATTTCAGTTCCATGGCTTAACATACCTGGGGGACGGGCAGCCCCAGGTTTTCGGCCACCTCCCCAGGCTCCACCAGTTGGTAAAACTCATCCTCCAGCTCCTGCAGCTTCTGTTTCCTCTTGCTCACTTTCTCCCTCTCCAGCTGTTCCCGCTCAGCTCGCTCTGACGCAAACATCGGATACAAAACTGACCTCTGCTCCGGGTCGCTGCCGATGTTTGGTAGGTGCTGATGGTCCGGCCGGAGCTCAGAACTGATAACTGGGTTGGTCCAGTCAGGTCTGGCTGCTGCGACTGCTCCGTTGATCAAGGAGGAACTGGTGCTGTGGGTTCCTAGGCTCACACTGGCCAGACTGGAGAAGCTGTTGGAGGTTGAACTGTTGCTGGCGGTGCAGCTGTGCTCAAGGCAGAAGGACTTGAAGCGAACCTCGTCGTTTTCTGCCAGGATCGTCCTCATCTCCAGGCCGTGGTCGAAGGCGCACGTCACATGGAAGGCCACGATACAGGAGGGCATGCAGCACTGGGAGAGGAATAAAGAGAGAAAGTATAATTAAGATCAGAGACAGAAAAATAAAGGAAGTATAAGACAGACAGTGGATGGGAGATGATAAAGAGGGAGATTGTAGGGAGCTAAATGAGAGCAGGGAAGTAGAAATCCCATTTGAGTAAGGTAATTATGTGGTTCAGTAAAGAGACAAGCAGATAGAAATGCTTGATAGTGAACAAACTCTTTATCTTAGAGCCGCTTCACAGCTTCTTCCTCAATTTCACAGACACTCTGTCACAACTGTTTGTTTTAAAGTGTCATTTTCGGTCCATTTCTTGTGTTATCAAGGTTCCAGTACAAGTGCATTAAAGCAGAAAGAGACAAGCCCAGTCAAAACAAACATGTTTCCTCCATTTCTGCTGACATTTGGGTAACTTGGGATGGGACGTGTGTGTGTGTGTGTGTGTGTGTGTGTGTGTGTGTGTGTGTGTGTGTGTGTGTGTGTGTGTGTGTGTGTGTGTGTGTGTGTGTGTGTGTTTTCTCAGTGCTATCCATTACAGGTCATACTAAGAGGCGGCCTCCCACTGAGTCCCTCCAGGTATGGTGTAATTTTGTGTGTGAGCCCTTGTGGCTGTGTGTTGCTGTCACGTTGTGCATATACAGTATGTGCACATTTGTCAATGTTTGTGTTGGTAAGTGTGTGTGCAGGTGGATGATGGAGTTCAGCATTCAGTGGAATGGTGACTGTATTTACTGTGTTGTTTATGAGCGTGGTGACAAAAAACCTGACTGATACTTCTGACTCAGTCTGGAAAACAACTTCTGTTTTCACAAACAACCTTTCCTTACTCCCTTTTCTGTACATACTAGTACACACTAGTTATGTCTTATCTTGTTAAGATAACCTTTAGTAGGAACTACTTCCTGATAAAGAAATGTTATTATGCAAACTAGACTGGTATTAGACCTTAATACATTTCCAAACGTTCCCAAAAAAGTGAAATTATATATACATTTATAAATTAAGACTATAACTTACTACCATACAGTAACCTCGCGTTTTAGCTACAGTATGTTTTTTTTACCCTATTTCAGGTATTTGAATCTAAATAGCTGCCATTTTCTTTGAAAACTGCAAAGAAGACACAGAAGATCACGAGATTAATTCTGATATACAGACAGTGGTCTAGAAGAAAAGAATGTTGATGGAGTTTTATTTGTAATACATAATGTGCCTTCAAAATGAAAGAAAATCGAGAGAAAGTCAACTCCGTTTACATATTTGTATCCCTTTCATTCTCCCAAAACCTTTAAGAATGCTTTAAGCTGATTGGCTTTTTCATACTTGTCCCTGCATTTAGCGTTAAATCAGTGCTGCTCATTAGCACTGTGTTTCTGCCTTGAGTGAGTGATAGCTGATCAGTGAGTGTGTTACAGCCACCTGCCTCTCGCCACAGGAACAGGGGAGAGACTCTCCCTACGGGTAACACTGGCTCAAGGACTTGCAAGGATCTTGCATCAATAGTGTGAGAGCACACATCCTCAGTGCTGCCCAAACAAGCATCTGGACACACGCATTCATATACATCCAGCACACATGCAAATACAGCTAGCGTAGGGACTTAGAAATCTGGTTCACCTTGAGGACACTTTTAAAGCTGAATGGTCTGTAAGCTAATAGCTGTAAAGTGGGTTAGTGTTAGTGTGTCAGCGGGGGTTTGTTTGCGTACTCAGCAGCATGTTAAAGAGGTGCCCGGTTCAAACGGATCCACACGCGCCCAGCGGGAGGCTAAGAACTACGATGATCTGAGTTGAGATACATTTTATGTGAGAGGGTGTGTGCGTAAGTGCGCTGAATTTATAATGCTAAACAATTTTGCAAGCACTTGTATGCTACACTGTACGTCAAGTACTTTGTGTGTGTTCCTGTAAGGCTTTTTTCAAAGTGCACATCTGTTCAGAATATATCAGTTATTTTAGGATGTAAAGGTCTCATATTGAAACTGATTCAAACTTTCACAACTTTCATTCAAGCTGGTTTTCATTCCAACACCACCTTCACATGATATACATTGAGCATTTACATGGCATTAAGAATGAAATTATGAGAAGATGAAGAAGAAGAACCATAATGAAGAGCAGGGATAATATAAACACAATATGGCTCTTGATATTAAACCACAGCCTTTCGAGCCACATTGAAACATGAAAGTAACATGTCCATAAACTAATAATTTGGATACGAGATTGAATTGTGCAAATGTTCAATATTTATTATTTTTCAAACTGTTTGTATGCTAATCCAACAATAACAAGCTGAAGGCTTAACCCAACGTTTTAACCTAGCTTAATCATGTTGTTAAAGTGGATGTCGAATGTAAGCAACACATTTTTTTAGTAAGAAAGGTTTTGAGCATGATTAAAACTTGATTAATTGATTTTTTCTTATTTTTTGTCTAATTTGAAGACACTTAGGTCCCATTATAACAACATGAATCACTGGTGATGCGTTTTAAGTGTTTATCTGCCGTACCTGTATGCAGGTCCCTGTGTGTTCTCGACACAGGCTGCAGGACAGAGCCCAGCGGCTGGCGGGGATATGGGACACCTTGGTAATGGGCTCCATCTTCTCCGGACAGCCTATACTCACCTACAGAGGACAGGTAAAAACACACATACAAAGCACCATGTGATAACCAATTAAACAATCAACATTGTGAGGAAATTAAGGCATTGGTTCAACCTTATCATAATAACATTCGATTTAGGATCATAGCATTTTTATATTAATATATTTTACTGCCGAAACGAATAGTGGCTTAATTAATGATTCTATCTACAGAACATTTCCCGAAAATAAAAGATTTAACAATAAATAATTGTACTAAATCATCAAGCAAAATCACAAACATAATTTGGTTTCAGCTTTTTAAATGTGAGGATTAGCTGCTTTTCTCCTTTATAGTGTAAAATTAATTAAAGGGGACCTATCATGCAAAATGCACTTTTGTACGTCTTTTATACCTGAATATGTGTCCCCGGTGTGTCAGGGAACTCACCAATTGTCAGAAAACACAAACCTCTCTCTTTTCCTCCATACCCAAATCTCTAAAAACGAGGCTGCAACGGATCTGATACAGACTGATACAGATTTGAAATTGTTCTGACGTCAGAAACGGGGAGCTCCGCCTATATGGGCAACTCTCCACCTATCAGGAGGAGACAGCCACAGCCATTGCCGCTCGAAAGCGCTGGAGACGCTGTAGTACATATGCCAGGCCTGTAAGTGGCGCTGTAGTCTGCCACAAAAGCAGAATCAGCCCTTGCAAAAACAGGGCTAAAAAAGGGCAAATAGAGCGAAATGAGGCATGGCTAAAATGCATGATCTGTTTGGTATTTTGAAAAAAAAACTTCACAGATATGTTTTATATACACTGAACAAAA